GATATGGATAATGTTTGATTAGATATAAAAACATGATTTTTCTTCAAAGAAAGTTAAGGTGATTTTTTACTAACAATATATATTTTTTTCACGTCTGGTTGGCTAGAGTCTGACGTTTCGCAATTTGTGCTAAGACATGAAAAACAAAACAGCATGGTGTTTGAAATTTTAGTTACCCCCCTCCAAATGAAAAAAATATCCATAAGATACAATTATTATAATTGATTTTTATGTAAATGATAACTATTTAGGTGAAAAAACGTTTTTTTAAAAGAGGTTTATTGTTTTTATAACTTATTATTCTTGTCTAAAACAACATAGGTAATCATTCCATCGTCGTAATGATATTAAATAAGTAAAATAGCTTCTCTAGGCTCTGGATTTTCTGGATAAATAAAAGTAATAAGATAATATCAACTAATTTATGCACAAAATGTGCTGGTTTTGCATATTAAAAATTCATGTAGAATATAATGTAACTAGACAGTTATTTCCAGATCTGCAGCTTCGGGAACACATACAAAAGGATATTATCAAATTCACATTGATACCATTTTTTCTACTACTATATATATATTATCAAGGAGTGGTCATGCTATCTTGACTTCTGATAATCTGTTCTTACAACATTTGATTTCCAAATCATGTAACGTCTCCATTCTGTATTAAAGCCACGGGCACAAGCCTGATGAAGTGATTAAACAACTTAGAACTTTTCCTCGAACGCTTAGAACTGGAAAGGTCCATTTCAAAACATATTCCATAACTAGCTGGAGTACCCGTCCTCTGGAGGGAATTTATGTAAATTCATGAGTAATGAAAGGTTATCTTAGGACATGAAAAGTTGCTTCCCTTAAATGAAATTGTAACAAACGCCCATAAAAACAGCAAAATACAAAATGTGAAACCGCAACTTTGCATGTATCTCCGCATGGACCCGATGAACATTTATACCAAATTTGCTGAAGATTCATTTACAGGGGTCGAAGTAGTGGTAAAAAAACACACCTAAAAACCGCAAAATGCAAAATTGAAAATGTGTATGTACCCCCGCATGGATCTAATGAACCTCATAGACATACAACAAACTGTACTCTTATATTTATATAGATGCTTGAAATGAACGATACTTTTGTAATCCTCACGCTCGTGACTACCACCAATCTTACCCTTAACAGAATCTAGAAATTAACACAGACTCTAGATGTGTAGGCATTTGTATAAATATAATTGAAACTGTAATATAACACAGTAAGTAGCGCGTGCAAAGATGCTGCTGATTGTGTTATCCTAAAAGCCACTTCCTCTTGAATTATAAATAACGTTAGGAAGTAGTTCCACTACAGGCCTACAGTTTTAATAGTTTCTTTCAAATATTAGGTGATTCAACATCTCGTGTGGACTAACTAACAAGACACGCTGCGCCCTCTCTACCCATATGGTGACAAAGTTAGGCACAATTCGTTCATGCTGTATACTGATACCTTATATTTAAACACCTCGCTTATTATACATATGTACATAATATCCAGCTGAATTATTTTAAAATAAACACTTACTCTGTTTTGGTTGCAGGTTAGTTATTAACAAGGCCGTACCGTGGGTAGTGCGAGCTGTACGTTCGCGCAGGGCGCCATCAAACATCGGTACGGCACTGGTTATTAAGATGTATTCAATGGTAAGATAGAATTTGGCGTTTCTGAATCAAATAACTTCGCTTTGATTTCAAGTTCATTAGGTATTTACATAATAGTGATCCTATTCAAATTAATTGAATTACTTCAGATTGCATTTAAGGTGATTATGTACAATTAATTGTTATTTTGGGTTTGTCTTAATATAAATCTTTTTTATATTTACGTTACTCCCATATTACCTTCTCCGTTTTCGGCATACTTATTTTCAATGAAACTTAATTAGCCTTAGCCTTATTACGTTAATATATAAATATATGATGTTTAGGTTCATTACAATTAGGTTGTCTAAAGCTTAGGTAAATATGTTCAAGTTGATTACTAGAAAAATTGATTAAACTAAAGCTGATTAAATCTGGGTTTCAACAAGATCACGATACTATGGATATTCTTGTCACAGAATTATTAACTTTGAGTTTGAGGCAAGTGTGTAATACATTACATCTTCGTAACCACATTATAGAAAAAAATAACCTTTTGCACTAGATTTTATATTTCTTTTATTTTAGTTAAGTAAAAAAATACCAGGTTAGTGAATATAAAAAAATATATATATATATAACCTGGACGTACACTGCCTTACAACACAACACGACCATTCATAATGCTTAAATCAGTATTTATCCTAACTGAGGACTGTCCGCGCATAGCCGTCTCCAATGTTTGAAGGCAGCCAGTTAACAGTACCCATTGCCAACACTTGTGCTACTCTTATTGGATCGAATACTGGGAACTGACCATCACTCTTACAGTGAACCCATGGTTCCTCAAAGTACTAAACACGTATTACAGAAATGGGTCGCGAACCATGAATCTTCTAATTCACAGCCTAGACACGCTAACCGTAAAGCCACGCCCAGCTCAAGCAGAAATTACACACATTCGACTCGCAATCTGAGGGTTGCGGGTTCGAATCCTCGTCCCACCAAACATGCTCGCCCTTTCAGTCATGGGGGCGTTATAATGTGATGGTCAATCTCACTTTTCGTTGGTAAAAGAGTAGCCCAAGAGTTGGCGGTGGGTGGTGATGACTAGCTGCCTTACACTGCTAAATTAGGGACGGCTAGCGCAGATAGCCCTCGTGTAGCGTTGCGCAAAATTCAAAACAAGCAAACAAATCTTCAAGTATTTTTCGGAGTATATTCTATTTTCCATCGTGCAGGTTTTAAACTTTGGGTCAACTAAGTGATAGCAGGACTGTACAGTTTTCTGAAATAATGTAAACGAATTTTCAATGCTTCTGGTGACTCTTTTAAAGGTGAGTTTTCAAAGAAGCCTTTCTTGTCTCCCAACGCGTCTTCCTCACTGACCTTCTCTTCTAGGTTGTTGACTCACTAATAATACCACTGTAGGTTCCTTACTGCAGTATTAGTTTGTTTATGTTTGTTTGTTTTTTAAATTTCGCGCAAAGCTACACGAGGGCTATCTGCGCTAGCAGTGTAATTTAGCAGTGTAAGACTAGAGGGAAGGCAGCTAGTCATCACCACCCACCGCCAACTCTTGGGCTACTCTTTTACCAACGAATAGTGGGATTGACCGTTACATTATAACGCCCCCACAGCTGAAAGGGCGAGCATGTTTGGTGTGACAGGGATTCGAACCCGCGACCCTCAGATTGGGAGTCGAGTGCCTTAACCACCTGGCCATGCCGGGCTGCAGTATTAGTGTTACAACATTTATCCAATGATTTGCAAATGCATTTCATTATTTAAGGTTTATTAATTTGTGATTCATGAAGAAATAAAAGTGATATCAAAGAAAATCAACAAACAGAGGAACATTATTGACCACTTGTAACTTTTGGTGTATTAGATATAGTTATGGTAAAAAAAAATATTTGCATCAAAATAACTAATTTTATTCTGGTTTCTCTCAATGATAACCATCTTTAAATCTTTTAATCCAAGATGATCTGACGATCTATAACACGTCCTGACTTGATCCTGAAGACATCAAGTTATGGAAATATATTTTCACTCCTTGGAGTCACAGTTCCACGGACCCTAAGATGATATGTAGATCTATAATTTGTTCTCTACAATTTCCTGGCTTGATCTTCAATATACTTTCGTTTCTGGAGACATGTCAAGCCAGATACATTTACTTTTTCGTCATCAGTATTGAATTACGTTTAAAAGAAGATGGCTACTGTCACTGGGGTCATAGCCCTTACATTCTTGAAAGTGCATTTGCAGAATGTCACATTCAATTGTGGCACTGAATGGAAAATGACGGAACCATCTGGGATTTCTTTATACCTTAGTAATCGTCAGAACAATGCACATTAATGTAATACAGAAATCATGTATGCATCAAGTTTATCAAGAATTGATTTACTTTTTGCATTTCTTACTCAAGACAGAAGGATTGCGGATTGGTCGTAAAAAGACAAGAAAGTGCAATATAGGGATTCTCTGTCTTGCAAATAACTGATCTCAATCTCTTTCATCAACATTTCTTTTTTTAAGTGACACTAAGTAAATAATTTTATAAGTTTATGTTTTTATGTGCACTCCTATTTAGCAGTCATAGTTCTTTTCGAAATTTCCCAAGAAGCTGCAGTGTGTAGGTATATCGACAGTTTAAGACCCCAGGATACACAGCTGTTTTCATTTCATCAGCTTCTCCGGTAATGAGATGCAACCGGGAAAAAAGAGAAATTCTGAAAGGAAAAATTTTGCCCGAGGCTTTAGCTTTGTGTGAATTCACAATCTTCTGTGCTTGGCGCCCTTAAGATTCCAGAATCGAATGTGCTCCTGTATGTATGTGTGTTTGCGTCGTCTCCAGTGTCACCAGGGGCAACGGAGGGTACACTAACTCGACTTGCTGCAGGCATTTTCAGGCTCAGCAGAGAAACTGGGTTTGGTTGAGCTGGTATTTAACCTCAGGGGCATCAATAAAGTTTGTTAGGATGTTAAAAAAAGCATCAAAAGTAGGCGTCGGGTATATATTTTCTGGCTTGGTAATTCTAAGCCAATGATACTTTCGGGATTGGTAATTCTAAGCCAATGATACTTTCGGGATTGAAATAAATCGTCAAAGTCGGGTGTTGTGGCGGGTTGGATTTAAAAGTGTGAACCACACATGATCAAGTATCGATTCGGGTAGTCTTACAGTAACGAAGTCGAAACAAAAGCCACTTTATAGAAACGGGCTATCATGAAAAGATGCTGGCTCTACCTCTTATAAGCACGTGGTGATCCAGGTGCTATACTGAGCGCGTGCGGTTGTGGCCAAGTAGGACCGCCTGCCGCGCATCCATCGATCCTCGTCCAGTAGCCCGAGGCTGTCTTAACTAACTGCCAACTTTACAGGGTTCGGCCTTGGTTTGCTGCAGGGCGAGTACTGGCGCTAACAAAGAGAGAGAAAGAAAAAAAATAGGGCTTTAATGGCTGGCGGCCAACCAGCCTAACAGCCCTGCCTGCCTGCCATGACGCAGACTGCCCCTGGTCATGATTAACCCTAGCAGCCTGTAAGGACTCCTCTAGCAAGGAGAGCTGTATCGGACCCAGCCGTGTCAGTGTTGGCTTGTTCTTCGGTAGTGCGTCGACGACAAACTATGGCAGCCCGCGGTGCAGAAACGCGCTCATTACCCGCGAAGGTCTCTCCGGTTCCGCCGCGCCCGAGCCTAAGTCCTTCCGCTGCAGCTGTTCTCGAATCTGCCGCTGCCTACGCGGACAGATTGGCATTAGCACGGTAAGAATTTTAAAGTCATTGTTTCTTAAAATTGACTCTTTTTTTTCAGTAGTTGTGTTTAGTAAAGCTGCAATAATAAGCATATTTTGATTTTTAATTGCAACGAAATCTCTCAAAGATGCTGAAAATATTCAAGCGCATTTATTTAGCTTCTATACATTACAACATTTGATCTTAGTTTTCCAAACTTAACATGAATGAATACTTGTCTAATCCGAGGCTGCATGAAACTATATTTTTTTACATCATGATTTGATTAAAATTGTCATTTGATTTCATAACACTAAAGTAAAACATAGATACTAACTGACAAAATCATTACGTGGTCATCAGTTCAAACTGTAGCCACTTCTTGTGGTTCCCTCCCTAGCTTTATATGGGGACTTGCTTCAGCTTGAATGTGTTATAATAGCACATTTTATTTTCACGAGATTTTTCACAAGTGATATATATATATATATGCAGTATATTTTAAAACAACATAGGTCGTTCTTCAAATGGACACAAATAGTATTTGTATTGTATTCTCCCCTTTCACCTAAACATTTTTATTTTATCCACTTGACCCCAGAGGCTTAGCGGTAAGCCTGAAGGCTTATAGCGCTAAAAACCGCTTTTCGATACCCGTGGTGGGCACAGAACGGATAGCCGAATGTGTAGCTTTGTACTTAACAAACAAGTTTATCCACTCATTATATAATTCTATCTTAAGAAACTTTTATCTGTTGGTTTCTCAAAACAGAGTATGGAGATGAGTATATATATATATATATATATTAACTTAAAAGCCCCCCAGTGGCACAGTGGTATGTCTGCGGACTTACAACGCTAGAATCCGGGTTTCGATACCCGTGGTGGGCAGAGCACAGATAGTCCATTGTGTAGCTTTGTGCTTAATTAAAAACAATTAACTTAAAAATTGCATAAGTGTACTTTGTGGTATTCATGTTATATGTTCCAAGTTAGTGTATATGTAACTCTATAAGGTAGCATTTTAATGGAATCAACAGACTCTGTCACTTTTTTATACTTAAAATGCCCATAAATACTTATTGGCACCTAAGTCTGAAAACTCGTTATCATAAACTGCGAGGTATGTTTGATTTTCGAAACTTAATCCGATTACAAAAATAGAAATACTACTTTGAAATTACACGAAAAATGATGACATTGATATTGTGATAGTAATTGTAATTTAGTTCGTTATAAATGTCTACAATTACACCACTGATGAAAGTACATTCTGATAATCTGTTGTTTAATTTTGATTATTTAAATATTCAAGCAGTTAGTGTTTAACGTGCTATTAATAATATGGTATGCTAAGGTTCTCATCTGCTAGAAACCATGAGCTCTTCTGCTAATCAAGTCTTCGTAATAACCCTAAGCCAGTCAATTAAAGGCTGCTATAAAATAACTATAGACGAAACTTTTCAGCTCGGTGTTTGCTTGTTTGTGTTAGAATTTTCTCGCAAGACTATACAAAAGGCTATCCACGATGGCTGTTTCTAGACTAGAGAGAAGACAGCCAATCAACAGCATCCACTGTTAAATCTTGGGTACTCTAATCGAACAGTGTGATTTGATCGTCACTTTTATAGTGCATCCGTAGCCCCTCAAATGCGGAGCGAGTTTTTGTGACAACGGGATGATTCCTCGGATTCAAAGTCCGAACACGATAATAATCTTAAGCCACGCCTGATCCTGTTAAATCATGATCACGTGATTCTACAAGACAATACTTTTTTGATGGTTCGTGTAATAAAGGACTACTATTTTCAATTTTTGTTTGTTTGAATTTATGCACAAAGCTACACAATGGGCTATCTGTGCTCTGCCCACAACGGGTATCGAAACCCGGTTTCTAGCGTTGAAAGTCCGCAGACATACCGCTGTGGCACTGGGGGGGGGGCTATTTTCAATTTCAAGAACTCGTGCTTAAAGACAGATTCGGCGATTTGATCCTTTGTAGTAGAAAAGGAACGGCGATGACTCGCGTGTCAAAAATGGTTGGATGCTTCTGTTATCTATTTCTATGTCCCTGACTGTTCTTCTTTAAATTTAGACATAATTGACTCTAAGAGATAAATAAAAATGTGAGAATACTAGTGTATAGCAAAAGTTTTCCTTCATAAGTGCTATTCTCTAAAATCAGCTTATCTGATAAGATGGTGTGTATCTGAGGACAACACAAATTCTCAAAGGATTCGATCTGATGAATATCTAATAAAGAATAAAAGTCGTTACTCTTTTTTTTTTATTATTCAATTTACATAACCTCAGTTGGTCAAATAATTTAAAAGATTTTTCGATGTTCTATTTCATTTCTGGCGAGTTTACAGACTAAATTCCACGGCTTGATTACCCGCGGTGTACAGAGCGCAGTTAGCCCAGTGTGTGGCTTTTTGCTAAAACAAACAAGTCAAATTGAAATAAATGCTATATAAGTCCATGGCACGCAAAATATGAAATACGCGTAGTGTCTAATACTTTTAAAACATTATTCTGCTTTTATAAGAAATATTAGTTACTCTGTACGGTGTTTGAATTAACAGTGGTCTTTAGTAATCATTTTAATGTACAAAGGTTTAGATTTTAAAACGAAAAGATATGTGGTTAATTCTCATTTACACATTGACTTTTCAGTTCAACTAAAACTTGCTACCGTACTATTTAATTAAATTTTATACAGGACTATTTTTCAAAATATTATCTATACTTATAAGCCTGTTATTGAATATTTGAACCTAATTAACTATTTCTTAACTTTAACGAAAGTTCATAATTATCATCATTTCGACAAGTTCAGTTCATAGATATATATTATTGTACAATAGTAAATTTCACTCCATAAAATTTAACTTGTACTTGTCTAAATTATGGTAGTTTGTTTGTTTTGAATTTCGCGCAAAGCTACACGAGGCCTATCTGCGCTAGCCGTCCCTAATTTAGCAGTGTAAGACTAGAGGGAAGGCAGCTAGTCATCACCACCCATCGCCAACTCTTGGGCTACTCTTTTACCAACGAATAGTGGGATTGACAGTCACATTATAACGCCCCCACAGCTGAAAGGGCGAGCATGTTTGGTGTGACAGGGATTCGAACCCGCGACCCTCAGATTGCCTTAACCACCTGGCCATGCCGGGCGAATCAAGTAATAATTCCCTGTTCCAAAATATTGTTGGCTAAGCCAGTCGTTTCCAACTTAGGATTCGCGAAAACCTTAAACATTAAAAAGTCAATAAACCCACACCTCAAAATTGGAAGGTTGGTTTGTTTGTTTGTTTTAGAGCAAAGCCACATTGGGTTATCCGCTGTTGTCCACCCCTGTCCCACCGGGGGACAATAGGAAGGCAGTCTCGGTGAGTTACCAGCATATTCCACTATCCACCACTCGATGTTTGCATATAGTTCTCTCACCATTGAATCATTTCTTTTAATTTACCTTTTTATTGTCTCGCGATGGGCCAGCGGTAAGTATCAGGACTAAGAAACGCTAAAATCCAGGGTTCGGGTCCACGCGTTGGACAGAGTGAAGGCAGCTAATTGTGTAGCTTTGCACTAAAAACTAGCAATAACAGCTTTTTTTATTAACATAAACCACTCCGAAGTTGTTGTTTTTAAAACAAATTATATGCCGCTGACTCAACGTTCTGACTGGGGGATTGTGGCATAAAAAAAGGTGGGAACCGCTGTCCACAATACCGTAAAGTATTCAGTTAGTAATGCAAGACAATAATCTTGAAAAGGTAAAAAATACATAACCATCATGCTTTCAACTATAGTTTCACTTCTGTCTCGTTTACAAAATAATAGTTGAATTACTTTAAAGTTTTGAATGTACTCTTTTATTATTATTAGTACAAGAAATCAAACTTTATAACGTTCAGTTTATATCGGAAAATGTTTTAGGACTATGATGATTTCCAGATACATGTCTTTCTCACTTCACATTTATGTATACATATATAGTTTTTTTTCTTGATATATATTTTAATGTGGAATATATGATTGGACTGACGGGTCTGTCTTGTTACAAACAATCTACGCGAATGAACGTGAAATACGGGTTTATGGGAATCCAACAGTGAGAGAAATGCAGAAAACAGATGTGTTTTTTTTTCTGCTGGGTCCTGTGTAAAATTACAGGATTTTATAGCATTTTATACGCAAAACGTTTCTGCATCAAATACGAACTTAATTTGTGTTTCGGACTACCTTGAAAATATCCTTGAATACGAACATTACACCATTTCGTTCATAGTAACGTTGTGGTTCATAATGCTAGAAGTAAAATGTACCCAGCGATGTCATGCTTCCTACCAAAACAGAAAGTCCTTCCCAGGACTTCCCTGAGAGGTGGCCGCAGATTATTAACCAAAACCTAGGATACAAATTAAGTAGTATTTTTTATATAGTAATAAAAAGATAATGAAGTAATAATTAAACTTACGTCATCATACAGGCCATTACCCGTGACGACGATTGTACTTAAATACGTCAATATAATTTTGATACGCGGTGTCATTACGATCATACCGAACATGTTTTATGTGATCATGTTAATATACATTATACTTGATAAAAGTTGTTACACTGTGTAATAACATTTCCGACACATAAGCTACAAATCTAAGAAATGACATTCTGTTCTTATCAGGGCGACAGAACGAATGTTTTAAAATTTCGTTTCTAACAAGTATTCTAATATGAGTGTCATGTTGTTGAGATAGATTTGACAATTAAAACTCAAACAAGTCGTGGGAACGACGATGCGAGACAGAATTGTTTAATAATATCAGCGCTTTACATTAAATGTTTTCTATTTTGTGAATCGGATTCATGACCCTTTAACCGTCAGACTGCGGAGGTTTTCAGGAGCAGTCAGAGCGTGAGAAAGGCTGTTGGTAAATAGGTCATGAAACACAACGTGAAAAGAAGGCCTCGTGACAGCCTCGAAATGTGATGTTTTAAAGACTTGTGTCGCCCCTTGTTAAATA